CAGCAAGGCACAACAAAGTTTGACGGCCTCTAATTGACCCACATAAGTCCGGTATCATTGTTGTAGTGGAAACGCCTACCTTATGGGAACCTCAAAAAATGCAGATCAACGTGTAGCGAGTTGCAGGCTGAAGTGGATTTGAACGGATTCTAGATGTGAACCGAACTCAATTGAACGCGGGCATCCATTCCGTTCACTTTCCGGTTCCCGGGTCCAATGACGTTGTACCGGTTGATCTGAAATGAACTTTGGTAGCGCTAGAAGTTGGGACAAGGTTTGATGGCCACTTGAACGGTACGATGTGCCCAGCGTGTGCCCTTATGTTTGACCTCGTGCATAGTCAATGTATACTCGCTGATGCTCGTATCACAGGCAGCTTCTTCATATTTTCGGCGCTTCCCGGGGCCCGTTTGAGTTGGCCGCACAGCCCGAATTGTTTGATCTCTTTGATAGAGAATGTTTAGAATGTGACAATACACTGAGAGTTGTCATGTAAGATGACCACGTCCTATCCTCCAAGGGAAAAAATCTGACAGGCATTCTAGCCCACCTCCGGTGCATGAGACCCATTCTCTTCTTGTTCACGCGGAATTTCTGCGGTCGTTACAGGACACGGCGGGAGGAGCTAAACCTTCCGTGGTAGAAGGCCGTTCTCTGATGAGATTACGCGGGTTATCGCCATATCATCGCAAAGCGATATCGGGTAATGGACTCAACAGATTAAGGCGGTATGATGCGCATTGGGGAATGGCGACTCCCCAATCAATGTCGGTTCAAACTTCAGTGGGAGCGTAGGCGGGGCTGACTCGGACCGGATCATGTGTTAATTCAAGGCAGGTAGACATAGTACACCGTTGTTACAGCTAGCTTCCTGTATCGATCCATTCCATCTCGTGGCCGTCGCTGGTAGGGCTTCCAACGGAATATCGGAGTGTCTCCATGAGAAAGAACGACTTTATACGGGCAGTATGAGGATGCCTGCGTGGAGGATTGCCAAAGCTGCACCAGACAATTGCCCGTTAGTGGCGGGTCAAGCATCCACGATGGCGAGTTCGCTGGCTCCAGACACGAGTACAACATCTACTAGGTGTACGGAAACCGTCGTAATTTCTTTAGCATCATTGTCGAATCCAAGGACGAAAATATCGTTGTATGATCTTGCACATCATAAAGTCTCCGGGACCGATATCCCAACTGGTACACAGCGCCGACCTGGTTCCACAGGGTTAAGATAGATTCGTTTTTAAAAAACATTCCCATAAGGAGCGGAATTTGAGGGGCAGGAAACAATAAATAAGTTCTGCCGTTTCATGTGCACGGAGATTAGGATCGAAGGATTGGGGTATTGTAACAGCGTACCGTGTGCTCTAGATGGGTAGACACATAAGTAAATACTCTTGCCTCGAGGTCGTTTCCCCAATGATACTCTTGTCCCTTCAGACACAGCGCTTGCCGATGCTCACAGCAGTCCGATGTATGTGCATCTGCCTCACCATGTCCGAACTGTCCGCAGTATCAATCACCACCATGCACCAACTATCAAGACCCATGGCACACAAATGTCGCTCCCCAGTTCTCGATCGGTCCCCATTGACACGCAAGATATGCATGTACTGTGTCTCAACGGCAACCGCGATGGTGATGGCGTATAGAGAGACAGAAGAGGCGACGAGAGAGAGAGAGGTGCAAGTCTGGCTCGAGGGTGTGTGTATAATGTCCGGAGACCCAGAGAGTACAGGAGTCACTTGCAGGTCAGCCGGCAGGAGGAAAGAGAAGGAGCTGATAAATCAAACCACCACCACGGTGTAGACAGCTTCAGTTACATAGTAAAAAGAGAGAAGGTAGGGTTTGCTATAGGCTCCTGTAAAAAGATGTTACAGCATATCAAACCAAAGGAGCGCAAATGTCCCATACGGAATCCTTGGCTATCGACCGCAGCGATGCCAATTTAAAACGTCGCGCTCCCTACGAAGTCGGATGTGGTATTTCAATGCGGCGTCTTGCCTGGGTATATGCGGCTCAGGACAATTGGACTTGGTTCGACAGCTGGTTGGGCCTGGTGTGATCCTGGAGAATACCATTCTAGCGCACTGAGTAATTTGTTCGAGCTGGAAGCTGAATATATGCTGTCAAAGAACGCCAGGACAAGCGAAATAAAGACTCACCCTTTCCCGCTAGTACCTAGATTTTAGTAGCGTTGGCAACTCGCTATGAAAAAAGCCCACATTTGTGCATCGACGTTGAGTTTTATGCACATGTCCCATTCGTTGGTTCTTTGCATGAAGGATCACGATGGCAGTGGTGGTGGTGGTAAGAGACTCGGATGTGTCAGAGTTAGCCGAAACCGACTTCCTTCTTGCCACCACGTCGAGCTCCTTTATTTCCTATTTGCGTACAACGAAAAAGCTGGATGGCATCACTCTGGATGCAGGACTCCAGGACTCCTTCTTCTTACTGAGCTATTGCAGCTGTTCGGGACAACTTGACGCGAAGAATATGGGTGCTTAACTTGGTCGAAGTATCCGTTCGAAAGGTTTCGCCGAATAACGTGTACGCTCTAATGGACAGGCGGAGGGTATAATGTCACTAAGCCGACATAGGCATTTACTAGTGACTTGCAATTGGCGAATATCATATATCTGCCCTACCCGAAATTTTCTGCCTGACGACCCGCCTTTTCAACGAAGGTCTCTATGCTTACCGAACTGATGCTGCAGATTTGATATCTGAGTACCACTTTGCGTCTGACGAGCACACACTGGTGATGCTGCGTCCTTTTCAGCATACTCATTGCGAGGATGAAGAGCTTCCTCTCATTTTGCGAGCACTATGCCTCTCACTTTCTTCTCATCGCGTCACTGCAGCACTCTTCCTCTCCAGTATGGAAATGAGAAGGAATAGGTAGCGTCAAAGAGGTCTGTCTGAACTTTAGAAGGGCGATTGAACGACAAAAATAAAAGCCTACATATCCCCTTACTTTCAGTCGACCGACTAGACAATCTCTTCCAACATGTCGTTCACAAATCCGCACATGCATTACCTGCAATCGTATCAATATGCCGAGCAACGGTATTGTAGGCTCGCAAGTAGCCATACTCAGTAGGCCGTTCTAGTTCTAGTTGAAGCTGAAAGACGCGACTAAGGCTTCGTTGATCTTTTAGGAGACATACTGTATGGCCACGATATACATTTGTTGTATCCCCAGTGCCGCAGCTCTTATAAGGCTCTGCCCTACGGAAAAGGTAAACCGACTACTTTCCGAGCACCACTGACTCCCGGTCAATCGCACTTCCTTTAGACACTTGGCCAAAATCTATGACAACATCGGAACGAAACGTCCGAAATCCTTACTAAACGAAGGACCGATTAACGGCATATCGATTTTACTCGATAAGAAAAAGAATTTCCGCATGCGCGACAGTACTATAAAAGCCACGGCGTCCAGTAGTCAATTTATCGACCATGTCCGATTCCAAACTCTTCCAGCCTATCAAAGTGGGCAACCTTACGCTGAACCACCGTATCGTGCTTGCCCCGCTGACGCGAAACAAGGCTTCGGAGAAAGGCCATGTTCCATACGTTTCCATCGTGAAGGAGTACTATTCGCAGAGAGGTAGCGATCCCGGCACCCTCCTCATCACGGAAGGAGCCTTCATCGCCCAGAAAGCCGGAGTTTTCAAATACGCACCCGGTTTGTGGACACAAGAACAGCTAGACGCGTGGAAAGAGGTGTGCTAAACTTCTATGTTCAAAACTTATCTTACAATCCAACAGGTAACCGACGCTGTCCATGCCAAAGGCAGTTTCATATTCTGCCAGCTCTGGGCTTTGGGACGTGCGGCAGACTACTCCGCTCTCAAAGAAGAAGACCCTTCTTTCGATCTCATCGGTCCCTCCCCCATTAAAACCCGCTCCTCCGAAACCCCGCGCGCGCTCACCATCAACGAGATACACGAGTACCACAAGCTCTATGCGCGCGCAGCATCCGATGCAGTGAACAAGGCTGGCTTCGACGGTGTCGAGATCCATGGTGCAAATGGATACCTCGTCGACCAGTTTCTCCAGGACGTTTCCAACCAGCGTACGGATGAATACGGGGGGAGCATCGAGAACCGTGCTCGATTTGGGTTGGAGGTCATCGACGCTGTCGTCAGGGCCGTTGGCGCGCAGCGCACAGCCGTCAGGATGAGCCCGTGGTCGACATTCATGGACATGGGCATGAAGGATCCTGTCCCCACGTTCTCATACTACGTCTCCCAGATCAAGGAGAGACACCCAGACCTCGCGTACATCCACCTAGTGGAGCCCAGGGTTACGGGCATCACAACTAGGAGCCTGGATGAAATAGATGCACGCGAGTCGAATGATTTTATACGCGACATATGGGCACCGAGGCCGCTCATTTCAGCGGGTGCATATACCAGAGAGAGCGCTATGGAGACTGCTGATACCAAAGGCGATATCATTGCTTTTGGGCGACACTTCATCTCGAACGTGGGTCTTCATCCGTACCATTGAACGTGGACAATGAGACTGATGGTAGCCTTTCTGCAGCCTGATATCACCATGAAACTAAAGAAGAATTTACCCCTTACGCCGTACAATCGTTCGACATTTTACTTGACAGGGGAAGTTGCGACAGGATATATAGACTATCCCTTTTATTCCGCTGAATAGTAGCCACATTGAAAATAATCAACCGGAAGGCCTCTATAGGGCTCTTGCACATATATCTAATGCAATTTCGGCAAGTTGAATTTATAACCGAAAACCATACACTAAATAGTATGAACAGAATCGTGGACTAGACGAACTCAAACCTTGGAAGTTCCTCGAATTCCGGCTTCAAAAAGACGTTGGATGACAAAGTTAAATTGGATGGGAAAACGCTTCCGGCTACCGGATTCTAATGTTTATACATACTGTTGTAATCATTTCACATCCTTGGACCTTCAGCTTTCAGGCTTCGTTCGACCATGAATGAGCAGTGGGATCAAAAAGGGCCTCACTGGGAATTGAACCCAGGACCTCCTCGACACGAGTGAACACTTTAAAGAAATGACCCAAACGAGGAATCATGCGACTAGACCATAAGGCCACCAAGTTATGGTTCTCAAGCGCAGTTGATTGTCAACAGGGCTTTATCTTGCTTGTCAGTGTGAGGCTGGTCCGTGTGAATCAAACTCGCCACTGCAATCCTCCGTCACGGGAGAAGAAGACTTTACTACTTTTCTCAAGCGGATCCTCAAGGACCCCGTTTCTGTCACCACCTCAAGTAAAAGATATTGGAGAGAAGTCATGCCCTCGGCTCCGATCGAATTCTTGCATAACTACTACAGTGATGTAATGATAACGTCTTCGCGTTCCTTTGTGAAAATCTCGGCATTTCCGTGATCCGTCGACAGCTTGTTTCTTCTGACAGCCATACGTGACCCTGCTGACTCTTGACCATCAAACTCTGAAGGCCCAGCTCTAACTTACTATACGCTGAGTACGCATGATGTCGCAACAAGAAGTGGTAGGCATAATGAATCCTCAGAGTGGTGCGTGATCATGATTACCGGCGAGGTTTACGGTCTACATATCTGAGTGGCAACAGAACTCGCAAACGCGCTCCCCCCAGAGTTGATAGACATAATCGTCGAAAACAATGCGGACGACAAGGAGTCCTTACTAGCGTCATCATGTATTTCCAAATCCTGGCGTGCGGCTTCCCTACGACATCTTTTTTCGACTGCAACTTTTTTGTACGACAGCGATTTCATCCGTTGGTGTGACATAGGATTCCATTTACCCCAGGTACCTCTCTACGTCAGAGAGGTAGCATTTAAACCTGGCGTGATGTCCGTCCCTGTTGACCAGGTGGCAGCATGGCCGTCTCCGGTCGAGGAGATCGAGCAATTCGTGTTTCATGTCTCGCAGATTAGCCCCAATCCTCCAGATATTCAGCTCCCTGACATGCCGCGGGCTCATAAATTAGTCTGGAAGACTCTACATGTGTTACTTCCGATATCCTGCACACTGGAAACGCGGCAGTTTATCTCCAAGTTTTGTTTCCTGAAAGAAGTAGAGTTCACGGGAAGGTTTTCGACCGTCTCTGACGCGAAGGAGTTCTTCGGACTCCTCCCGCCGATAGAAGTTCTCACTATCAAAGGGATGCACATACATGAGGCGGGCCCCAGCTCTGGACAGTCCCCTGTCTTCACCGGTAACATGACAAACCTTCGTAGACTATCGCTCGAAGAATGCTTAATTTCAATGGACTGGCTTGTTGATGATATACTAGCAGTGTCAAGTCCCACCAATCTTCAGTTCATGTGCTGCGAAGACCTCCCCCCGTTCTCCTGGAAGGCGTTCGCTCGCCTTTTCACCCTTTCCTCCGAGTCACTCCAGGAGCTGATCCTTCAACCACCATGTAGTGGAGAGACTTGTGCGTAGCCCCCATATATCTAATAAATCTTTGTTCATTTATCAACAGTTTCTTACGGGGAAAAAACGCCGCACTTCACAAATCAGACTTTTCCTTCATTGATGTCTTTGTGTTTTTTCATTATCCCGCTGGGTCTGCCCTCTCAATCAATGTTCCCAATGAACTGGTGCCGTAAGGTCATAGAGGTCTTCCCACCAGCTCCTAAAATGACGTCTCTCACGATACACTTTTACGCTGCACGGTCTGAAGAGGCTGATGAAATTGCGGCGGACCAGTCATTCGACTGGAAGCAACTGTCAGAGCGCACTTCAAAGCTCTTTCCAGAGCTGACAAGGTTCATCATACGTGTGACCATGGAAACGGACTTTGGGGCGAGGCGAAAAGCATCGTCAGAGGTCCTCCTTAAAAAGCGGCTAGAACATTTTGGGAACAAGCTAGTGATTGAATGGGGTGAGCTTCTCCATCTCGGTGCTTGTGATCACTTCTAAGGGGTCTTTGAAGTGGACTCCTTTGAATCGGAGGGTGAATAGAGGATCGCTTTGATCAAAATATTGACGACGAATAACGACCTGATGGCTGTAGTCAAATATTCAAGTTGAGGTGGTGGTATGCACATTCTTATCTGCGCCCTCTGGGGCTCTGTCGAATCTGATGGCTTTGCTTCAATATCAGCTCGTAGTCACGCAGAGGGCTGCATGTGCACTTTTGCTTATCGAGTATTCTTCCCAGACTGATCCTGAACCGCGCTCGCCAACCACCCTTGGAACATGGTTACCTTCAAAAACCTCGACCATTTGAGTACGGGCCAGCCTCTGTACGACGATAGAAATTTCTAGATACTCTCCTGAACGCACGAGAACCGTGGCTTGTGGCAATCAGAGAAAAATAATTCGTCTGAATCGCTCGGATTGCTTTCCATAAACGAGTCTACACCATGCGCAAAGTCGCAGACACAAAGTTGATAGCAATTCATAAAAGGCTTCAAGAAAAGTGGTCCAATGCTGGTGACGGCGACGGACGAGTCAGGTCTTATGTCAGCATCTTCCCAAACACGTCATTATCACGATCACATGTTCGTCGAAGGATACTTATGAAGGGCGCAACTAAGCACAGTCTCGCGTACTCAATCCTTGCCAGATTAGCCAGGCCGAAGCCCTACCGCTGATCGTATCAGAAATTCTGGTTGACCGGGTTCAAAGACATTTCTAGTTTCTGTCCAAATTCTAGTAGCTTTTGGGTAGCCTTATATTTTTCAAGTCTTGCTTATTAATTCCGAGTCTAAACCTGCACGTTCGCGGAAGGACATTAAAAATTATTTTAATAGGCAATCCGTACATTTACAAACCGTGTCTCGACATTAAATCCAATAACGAAGCCACTTGTTCCTCGGTGCATGCGAGACACAATAATTAGCCAATTAAGGCGATTTCTACTTTGAATCCGAGCGAACACTATTACTCTTCAACAAAGCTTTTATATATGTAAATACACAGGTGGACTGCAGACGCTCGCCTTGTTCAATTACAAGTTTCTTCCAGAAATGATGTAGCGCGTGTCTTCAGATTGCCTCCGAAGATGATTTCATTCCACGTCGGTTTGAAAATCCATTGTCAATTTTACAATGAATCCTTTCAGCTTTGAGAATCGCTCCGAAATGAGAACAGACAGATTCTTCCAATATAACGCTCAGTTAACAACAGTCTCCTCAATGTCCTCAGGGTCTTGAGCATAAGATTTCATTACGAGAGACGTCATTTTCGGAGCTGGAGGGAGGACCTCTATCAGTCTGCGACAATGATTCAATGAAAACGTAACGTCGGTGGGTACTCTACCCAATCTGATCACTGGCATGCAGAAGGCGAGAGATGTCAATCAAGTAAAAGACAGATTTGCGGGTATGTCCCACCTCGTATTAAGAGGTGAACAAGAAGTAAAGGGAATATGCGAGGGCTATGCACCTGGCCAATCATCATATCATGACGGTTCAATGCTCAGCTCCTGGAAGGACTCGTAGGAAAAAGTGAGGGGCGAATGCTGATACAACATTGCGAAGTCTCATCCAGTAAGTGGGTCTACTTAACTTCAAAATGACGCCCAGGTCCAAAATGAACGTCAGGTTCAAAGAATGCCCAACTGAACAAAAGAAGCACCTGGAGTAAATGGGATCCGATGTCGCATCAGCGTATGAAATCTTCGTGGTACGAGAAATCGGCCATAGAGAAGTGATATCGCAGGAAAGCAAAACGTGATAATTTCAAGACACAGGATGATGGGCGTAAAGACTCTGCTCTCTGTGATATCAAGTTGGCCCATACACACCAGCATCAGTTACTACCATAGATCTTTGAATAAAATCTGTGAGGTGGGTCCGGATCAGGACAATGTAGTTCAGCGGTGGGCCGGCGTTACACGAGATTCTGCAGTCGCACTGAAATTTTTTATTTATGCAGTTTACATCTACTCAGAAATCGGATTCTCCCCGCCATTTTCTTATTTTCGACAAACGGAAACGCGTATAAGGATTTTTTTCAGCTCCGCAATACATTTCCGTCAAATTCCGTTGTGCCGAGATTGTTGGGGGGCAGGAGTGTTATCCTGGCACTGAATCTTTCCATTATCGTGGTGGCACACATTTTTTCAGACTCTAATTTATCTTCTTTACCTACGATTAACCTTAACTTGCGATAAGATTCCAACCAACTTGGACACGAATAACCAACTTGCCTACTTGTACATTATTACGCCCATAAAATAATGTCTCGATTACCACCCACGGCTGTCAAAATCGCTCAAAACATCTCTCGCTGTTTCCTCCATTGTCCTGAACTTGAGCCCAAGTAACCTCTTCTCCTTGCTTGTGTCAAAGAGAATCGCATACTTCGTATCCCCGGGAACGGGTTTAGGTAGAACCCGAGATGTCGAGACAGATTGCATCGCAATAACTGCAATCGCGGATCAGCTTAGTCTTCCGGAGGCATACAGAAAAGACTTACCCCAGTCCTGCCACACACACGGCCCAGCTGAGATAAGAATCCTCTCACCGCCAGCAGCTTCAACCTCCAAAGCTCGGACATGAGCCTCGGCGAGATCACGGACGTCTACCCAACCGTGGCCGGGTTGTACAAGTAGCGCATTTGGAGACAACCCACCGTGATCCTGCTGGACTACAGCATCGTACCACGCTTTTGAAGTGGCGTTGAGAGCGTTGAGAGTGGGGACGTCGTGGATGAAAGGCTGACAAGAGGAGTAAGATGATATTTAAAGGCCCCCCGGCGAGCACCTACCCCAAATACCCACGGTGGATTTATCATCGCTAGGTCCCATGAAAGTTGGGACCTGTGTCCCTCATAGAAACTCCAGGCCGCTTCATGTCGGCATCAGCATATGCACCTCGTCCAGGAAAAGCACATTACCTTTCTCTGCCAGCACCTTGGACGCACGATACTTCGCAAAAGGAGCTGCATCTAAGCCTTTTTCCTCTACTTCCTTTGGTGATTGCTCGTTCCAATCGACTTCTGATAAGATAATGGTCCCCGTCTCCGTTCGTACAATTGCGGCACATGAAGATGTGACGACGATCCGCCGTACAGACGATCTACGTGACGTTAAACAACGAAGATACGAAGTTAGTAAATTATGCGGACCCATATTTGGCGGCACTGGTCAGC